AGCAGGATCTATGCAAAAGGAGAGTCCCCAAAGCTCTTGGAAGGGCGTTGATACGCAAAGCACTTCAGCAATAACCAAGATACGGGGAGAGAGGGACTGAGAGGAGGAAAAGCACTGTTTCTCAAATGTTAATATTACTGCCACAACAAGCACCCAGTCTAACACACACAAACCACTGGGAAATTCTAAAGGCTGATTAGACAAACAAGGTAAAGCACTGTCTGCCTGCAGTCCTCTCCACTCACATTCCTTCACGACAACTCTCCTGCTGACAGCAGTTTCAGTTGTGTTACACTCAGGATTTCAGTGAAGGAGCAGCTGCTCATAGCTCCATTGGAATGCTGCGAGAGCTGCAACACAGCTGTGGGAATACTTACAAACCATGCTATGTGTGACATGGCACACACTGGGGTTAAATGTCTGGGCACTCGTGTGCTGCAGAAAGGGTTTTGCTCCCATCAGCAGAACAAGACAAAACGAAGGCTTCCAATTAACTGGATTCAGATCATTTTCTTCCATCTGCCTGACCCAGTCATTTCATGCTCTTGGAAAAACAAACACAAACTCCACCAAGCAGAGGTCAGTCATAGGGCTGTCCCGTACACACCTGGTCCATCAATCCTGCTGATTCATCATCTCCACCCTTTCTGACCATCCCAGACCCAGGTTTGGAAGTTGCTGCAGTCCTTTGTGCAACAATGGGCCTCTGCGGGGCTGCAAGGGTAATTCAGCAATCAGTTCAAATTCATTCCTCCTATAAAGGTACTTTCCCCCCCTCCAAACATGCTTAGGCATGCAAGAGTTTGCAGATATGTTCCTTCCTTGTCTACATGTGACATGTCTTTTTTTTTGGCATGTCTTGGCACCAATCCTTGCCATTTTCTCTTTTAGAGAAGACTCTTCTTTCTGCAGCCTCCAGACCCCTGGGTACTACAGCAGCCTCAGTGTTTGAGCCTAGCACCACTGAAACAAGATGCAAAATACTATAATCCCACAGAGTGATTTTAAATAGGAACCTAGTTTCATTTCCCCAGAGTTTTTAATGATCTGGATAATCTTTTAACTATTTTCTCTACCTGCACTGCCAGAACTGAGAGATTTCCTGGGTTTGTTCACAACTGGAGCAACAAGGTTTGGTGCTATTGTGTCTTGGCCTTGTCGAGCAGCAACAGGATCATACTCCTTCCCGTCATAGTTTGCATCAAAAAACTTTTTGAACCACTGAACAAATTCAAAGTTGTCCTGAAATTTTCCTTTCACTAGTTTGTCCACAGGAATTATCTGAAGCAGTGAAAAAGGGAAAAAAAAAAGTCAGACTCATATTAAGGGCAAAGAACCTCCCTATATAAGAGATTTTAAAATTAGTGCACTCAGAAAATATGTAAATTTAGTTCTTGTTCAGTCTACAGAAAATCTTCAACCACAACCATGTCAAACGGTAGGATATTTGCTAGTAACTGGAATGAAAAACAAATCACACTTTGCCTGTGAGGGTCCAAATGATTTTAAATCATTCTGCACCAGGTTTACACACAAAACTCCTTCCTGTCCATGTGAAGCTGACTCAGGCAGTGCTGGCTCTGATGAATCCAAACTGCTGACCAACTCTGCAGCCTGCCAACACACAGAACTGCTGTAAGAGCCAAACACCACCTTTACAGCAGATTCCAGCTTCTCTGGAACGAGGTGTATAACTGAATACGTTAAAAAGATGCAGCAAACGGTGAAGCTTTGTCTGTGGGCCATAAGCTGAGGTCCATGGCCTGGCAGGAGCCAGAAGCCATGGCTGTTATGTGACCACTTGGTATATGGAAGCCAGACTGGCTGGCCCCATCTGGGAAAAAGCCACTGTCCCCAGGCAGAGACTGATTCAGTGTGCTGGAGCTGCCATCAAACACAGAATGACCTCTTAAAGAAGGAAAAAGCCTTAACACAGGAGAGTCTGGCATCCTACCAAACACACTGTATGCAACTATGCCCCAGATAAATCCTCCTTCTATAAGCAGAACTCTCATTCAATCTGAACCAGCTTTTTCACAGATCTCATTTTCACTAGCTTACAATCACATATTTTAATACCTGGAGGGATTTAAATGCCATGGAGATGTGGCATCTGGGGACACGATTTAGTGTTGGGCTTGGCAGGATTCAATGGTCTCAGAGAGCTTCTCCAGCTTTAACTGTTATATACTTCTATGTACTTGTAAAGAGGAATTTGAAATCCTTAGGACTATCAGACCAGAAGGTTGTGAGAACATACCCAGTACAAAGATGGTCAAAACAGGAAGCTCAAGCAAACTTTATCTCATAGAAATTACAATATTAGTCTGAGCTACAAAGGTTGAACAGAATTAAAATGGAAACATTCATCTCATCATTAAGAACTGAACTTGATCTTGGCTGGAGCAAAGCAGATCATGTCCTAAATGAAGTGGGAGCCCAATGCAAACCAAAACCAAAAGTTTTGAGATTTACAATCCAAGAGTCAACTGTTTCCCTACTTACTAGCTCTACATTTGAAAGCACATCCCACCTAGGCTGACATTAAGAGCACAGAGAATCAGTTACAGCTCAGCTTACTTTGTCCACACCCATTCGTTTGAAACCTGCTTGTAGAACCTTGAAGTTCTGAATGTACTCATGTTCCAATTTTGCTTGAAACTTCACTTTCTTGAGAGCTACAGAACCTGGGAAGAGCATGTCCATGAACTGACAGTATGCAGCACCTGCCAAAAGGAAAAAGAACACAAGTCCTGAGATGAATTAAGTCAGCTTAGCTCACTAACCTACATTAAAGTCCTTTCCAGTCAGAGCAGCAAACTGATCTGACTTACTCTTCATCTACACAAACCCTTAAAGGCAGCAAAGGCAAGAAAACAAGAGCCCTCAGACTCCTTTTTGGTGCAGCATGGCCATAAATAAGCTTAAGGGAGGAGCTGCAGAACCAAACTTTTGGGCTCATGACTTGAACTCTTATGAGTAAGAGTAATCCTGTCTCCATAATTCCAAAGGAAAAAGAAAAATCTCATGAGTACTTTGACTTTCCTGTCTTCACAGATATCAGCACAGATCCGAGATGTTACATTTGTCTAACAGTCATGTAATCTCCTCTTATCAACACTAACAGAAATAAAGCAGAAAAGGCATTATCCTAAAAGTTATATTTAATGGTTATTAAAATAGTGACACAATTTCTTCCTACACACAGAACCTATACACAATTCAAGGTGCCCTCCAAGATAACAGGCCAATTAAGCTGGATTATATTTAAAACAGGCCTTAATCAAAGAGCTGAAATAAAATAGTGTTTCTTTCTATTAACTTTAAATCCTCCATGTGCTCCAATTCAGCTCCTGCTGTAGTAAGAGCAGAAGAGGGATTCAGGTCAGGCACAAAGAGCAGACAATCACTCCCAAAAATTAGCATTTGTAGAATACACACCGAGTCAAAAAAGACATTTTTGACCTAGATCCTCACTCTGCAGCGATGATGCACAACCATGTACCACTGAAAGCACAAGCACAACATTCAGAGAATTAATGAATTAAAGGGTAATGGGAACCCTAACCTAAACCATCCAACAAGGTTTTGGGAGCTATCTGAAGGCCAAGAAGTAATACATAACAGCACTGCCCTAAGTACTCTGTTAATCTCAGCCACATCCTGCAATTGTTCACTCTCTATCAAGATATTCTGCAGGGGTTCCCACTTTCACCTGCTACCAGAAGACTGATGTCATCACTGGTGCAACTTAAAAAAACCCAAAACAACTCTTGCTGTTTGCTCTCCACTGTCGTTCAGTTCACTTGCGGCAGAACTCCAATCCCAACTCAAACACAGAGGACTTGCTGGAAACCAGGAGTTTGCTCACTATAGGCAGTAGGAGTGATAAGTGAGATAAAAAAAAGAGGGATCATAGCACAAGTCAAAGGTCACCTTTTGTGCATTTATCCAACCTCACACTATTGCCCTTGCCAAAGGCAGCGAAGCAAGCTGGGGAACTCTTGCTTCCACATGACTATGACAGCAAAAGCCACTTGATACCTGCAGAGGCACGAGGCATTTTTGCAGACACAGGGAAGGGACATTGCTGAGCACAAACCACACCAACAGCTCTCAGTTTTTTCCTGAAAACAAATGAGCTGAAACTGCAGAACCAGTGCCAATTATCCTCACTTCAACACAGAGCTCTCACAGTGTTCGAGACTCACACCAATTCCATGCAAAACCTCTCTGCTGTGCAAATCAACCCTGCACACAACAGGGTTTTCACCTGCCTATCTGAACAGACACTGCTTATCACCTCCCTTCCTTCTGTACTTATAGATCTTCAGTTTCTTCACCGTTACAGTTTTTCTCCATCATCTCACTAGACAAAAGCCACTTCAAATACTTGTCAGATGCCTATTGTGAGCCACTTGCTTCACTGTAATCTTTGGGATAGTTTCTTCCATGGATTCAGCCAAAGGCTGTATTGACAGTCCAAAACTTAGTTTAAATTTATTCCTCCTTTTATTCCACCTCCAGTGGAGGTCCACGGGCAGCACCTTATATCAAAGTCACTGTACGAGCTGCACTTGCATTTCACACCAAGTACCTGTTGCAGTTAGCCAAATTATCTTGTACCAGGCTGCAATTTTAGCCTTGAGATTTTTTTCAGCTCTTATTCCAAGGACTATTATCTTTTATTCATTTCTACAAGCCTCCTCCCACACACCCTCCTCCCTGTAATGACACTTGACTCCGTTTCTGTACCACAGGCACTTCCCCTTTTCTGCCCACAACTGTATCTGAAGTTCAGCTGTGCTCAAGCCCAGTTGAGCTGGGCTGACACAGGCTGATGTGCTCCAGGACCATAAGGACTTGTAAAGTCCTGCAGGTGACCCCGCAAGTCACTAGTTTGCCCTCCTTACCCTCCAGTTCTCTTCCATAAGAAATCACAGTTTTTTATGCTAGTTACATTCCTAGGAGTTACTCCATCCATCGAGGCTAACTGCTTAATTCCTCATGGGAAAACACCCTCTTCCTCAGAGTCCTTTTTTTTCACTTTAAACCCCATTCTTTATAGCATCTACACTGCAGTGAGTCAGGAGAAGGTGCCTTTTCATTACGCTTCCATTACTAACAACCACTTCAATAACACTCCAACCATAACTGGATCATAACATGACCACGAATCTGTTCCACCAGGAACTCAGCCAAGAGCAGGGCTACAGCAGGGCAGCACCATGGGCTCACAAGGTGCAGCTGCACCTCTACACACCCAGGGAACACATCCCACGTGGAAGTGCCCTCGGGGTGAGCCCCTCACCTGAACACAGCTGTTCAATCTTGGTCAGCGTCAGCTGCAGAGACTCATTGATCCACGCCAGCATGTCATGTCGGCTCAAGTTATCGCTGGTCACTGAAGTAGAATACACATTCACTGCCATTTTCTGAAAGACACAACCAGAGGTGTGAGCACCACGCGCAGCCCCTCACCAC